TTTTATAGAAATTTTAAAAAAATGTTGAGCATTTTCAACATTGCACTGTTTTTGGTTTTAAATGACACTGAGTATGTTAATTTTTACAAATGCATGACTCAAATGTCAGTTATGCGTTAGTTCTTATACAATTACTGATTGTTAGTTTTATTTATTTCTCGTGTCTTTTTTATGCTCATGTCGCCTTAGCAACAAACAAGAGGCTAAAACATTACCATTGGCTTCATTTGATTCACTGTCTTTCTTGGGAAACGTTCAGAGACATGGAGTGTGCTTGAATATTTTATAGTCTGTTTTATCTCTGTATTCTGTTCATTTTATTTATGTATACCACTATTTGTATTTCTTACAATTCATTCTATTAAAGAATTTTATAGTATTTTTCACATTTCTAAAATCTTCTCAGTTTTATACCTACTCCTTGCCTGACATCTGAAAACTAATCATCCACTCTTCCAGCAGACTTAAAACTGCAATGACTGTATACTTTAAAAAAAGAAAAATGTTTTACTTAAGAAGGGAATGTTTTTAACATTTAAGATGCTACGCTACACGGTATGCAATGCGGGCTGGAGCAGAGCACTTATCAAACTTAAGAGATGGGACTGTATCGCTCTGACCTAAGACCTTGGCATCTGACGATTTAATGACAAGCACTGACAAGTGTTCAACTTTCTTTGCGTTGCACAGTTGCAAAAATTGGGGAGAAGAAACGTGACTTTCTGTGGACGATATGCCTTGCACTAATTTAGAGTATACAATTACAGTTTGTTGATACATAGGAGTGTTGAGCTTTAGTAAGTGTGACAGTTTATTCTGACAGATAACAGCACTGAGCATTAATCTTTAAAAAAAGTGCTTCAGTCATTTTGAACATTTAGTTTTTTAATCAATTGAAAATTCCTATTTGAAGAGGGGGAGAGCGGCTCCATTCAGTCGGTGTCGGTGGGTACCTGAATTCCCAGGTTTTAGAGGAAAATCGTTAAAATTCCGAGTGATTCAAGAAAGCAAAGGTCACAGTTGAAGCAAAAACCAAAAACCAACTTTGTCTCCTACAATTCCTGCAATAACCACAAAAACAAGTAGGCGAGTCAGTGAGCTGTTTTGTTTGAGTTGGTCGACGGGCCCAAGGCCCAACTGGCAACGTCGCACGACGGGTCGGTCGCGCGTTCGGGTTCGGGTGTTATCCCAGTGCCCTGCCTGGTGCGAGATTCCGTCCCGCCGCGATGGTCCTCGCCGTCGCTCCTCGCACGGTACCGGTGGTTCAACATGGTCCAACTTTATCACGAGACGCTGGAGGGGCCTAACTGACGTGGCGAATTTGTTCTAAAGCCCCGCGGCCGGCGCGTTCTCCTGAGACAGCGGAGCCGGTGCCGGCAGCCACGTGTGGTGGCGCAACTGGACGGCGGGAGTCGGGGTCGTTTTCTCTGCGCACAAGGCGCCGCCACGGTTTTTTCGAAAAATCGATCGTGACCGTGCGCATTCGCATTGTACCTCGTTAGCCCTTTTCATTTGTTTACCCGCCGCCGTTCACTAGCGTTCATCATCATGTCCGGCGAGGAAGTGTGAGTATTTCGCACAGGTTATTTGGAATCCTGAAAACTGCGCGACGGAATCTGCATTTTGGTCTCCCGGAGGAGCGGCGCCGTGCGGAGTTATAGGCATGGGTGTTTGAGGCACCATGTTAGCCGCTCATGCCGCCATCTTTGCTGCCGGGAAATGTGTTCTTTGTTTCACAATTACCCATTTAGATGATAAGCGCGCTGGGGCGATTGAATTGCACAGCGATGCATTGCATGATATTTACCCTTTCTGCACTTACGCCATGCACTATCACTTCTTCCATGTCCGCTGCTACGCTTGCGGTCTACCTCCACCCTCCTAACCATGTGCGCAAATTTAGCAGCACGCTCGGTCTTCATTTTCTCGTGGAAAGAGACAATAGTTTAAATTGTTGGGCTAAGAAGGAACTAGAGGTTTATTCGTAACACTTCCTCTAACTCTTCGAAACCCTCCTCCCTAGTTATTTATCTATCAGTTCGTATATCAGTGTTTGAAAGCCTGCTTTCAAGATTTTTCTGGACGTTCCTCATGAGCATAGTTCTGATCTTTGGCTCGTTGTGAGCTGCAATCCATTTCTTTGCATCTTGCCATTCAATTTGCATTCATAGGGTAATCAGGTTTCAAATAGTTTTTTTATAATCATGGTTGTCATGACAACTGATATGAGGGTGGCTAATAGGTTAACTTCATCCTCTTTTCCGCGTACTTACTCCAGTATTGTAGCTGTGGCTTTATTTTTGGCTGACACTTGATATTGACTGACTCTCCTACTCATAATAAAAGTACTGCCACTTTGTTCAATGTTCATATAAGTTCATAGTTCTTGGCTTGGTAAAGACAGGGCTAGATTTTTTGCACAACTAACCATTCGTTTATTTTTTTCAGAGCTGTACCACCTCCAGTTCAATGGGCTCAGAGAGCTAACGTTGTGTTTGCCACCATCTGTGTCGAGGATTGCAAAAGTCCTGATCTTCAAATAGAAGCAGATAAAATTTATTTCAAAGGCACTGGTGGAGCAGAAAAGAAAAAGTACGAAGTCACTATACCTCTCTTCAAGGAAGTCGATCCCGAGGTATGTGTTAGCCCTCATGATGAGCTTGAGGGTAGAACCCATTTTTCTTACTGTTTCTTATGTGTCTGTTTCCTCTATCCAGAAATGTCTTAAGAGCGTAAGGGACCGTAACATAGAACTAATCCTCAAGAAAAAGGATGATGGACCATACTGGCCATCACTACTTAAGGATAAGAAGAAGGTCCATTGGTTAAAGGTTGACTTCAACAAATGGAAAGATGAGGATGATAGTGAAGATGAATTGGGAGGAATGGGAGGTGGCGGCGGCGGTGGTGGAGAAGACTTAGAAGAGGTGAGCTTTGATTGGTTAAATGGCATTTCTGTGATGTATGTACTGTACAAGTATTTAATGCTTCTTTTTTTTTTTTTCTCGCAGATGATGAGACAGATGGGCGGTCTTGGAGGAGGAGAAGACAAGCCTAGTTTCGATGACCTAGAAGCTGGTACAGACTCCGATGATGAGGAATTACCTGACCTTGTGTGATTGCAGTGAACCCTTATCCCCTGAAAATAACACCACTAATGCAAAGAAGGCTGACAATCTTTTGTGTTGGATGGACCACCTGAAATGATTGCTATTACTTTATCCTGTGTACCATCAGTGAAGAAACCTAATTCATTTGCTGGTGTTGAGGCGCCAGTATGGCATGGCAAGTGTTTTCTGGATTGATTTAATCAACTACAAATACGCTTTAGGATAATGCATTATCCTTTAAGAGTAAATTTGCTAGGAGTTCTGTTGAGTTTGGTTAAATTTGCTACCAGTGTTAAGGTGGGTAAAATATACGTACTAAAGTATTTTACCAACTTTTTGTATTTGCCACTGTGGCCTGCTACCCATGTGCTGATAAGGTGAAATCCAAATTGTGCGTTTCTTATTTTGCATATGCAATGATACGTTTTTAAGCTGTTGATACTAGAGGCAATTTTATATTTTAATGTCTTCTTGGTAATCCTTTATTAAGAACGGAGTTATAACTATGTCCTAGAATAGGTCTCGTTACAAACCAGTGATAAAATTTAGTCTTTCTTTTGTAGAAGCCAACATATTGTGCATTGTTAATGTATAGAAATCAATGTACCAGACCATGTTGCCTGTCTACTTGTTTTAAATTATTCTCCCCTCCTTTTTCTTTGTTGTGCACTGCAGTTGTTTTTCATTCCTTATTGTAAGCATTCTTGATATAAAAACCATTAAAAGCCCTAGCATTGATAATGTATTTTTAAACTTGTGTCTGCTTTAATAATCCCAGTGAGAAACAACAACTCAAGTGATACATTTCTTTATTCAGATCAAAGGAAGACTAGTGAGCTCACAACTAGGTCTAATCAATTTATTGACCTATTTTCCAAGAACAAATGCTAGGAACAATTGTTGGCCCACAACATAGATATTCACAAAATAGCTTATGTGAGGCCTTGTTTGCATCAGTAGACTAGAATGTTCCCATCCACTTGACTCCAAATCATATTTTCTTGATGCTTACTGGAAAATTAATTTCTTCGTACTTATCAGCCCAGAAATTAAATCACAATGGGGCCCACAAAACGAAAACTACACACAAGATGCATATGTATTAAAAAAGGACAAAGTAACTATTTCTAGACACTTTTTATCACAGAATACTATACCTCAATCAAAGGAACTTGCTCATTAACAAAGTTAAGAACAAATTTTAATGAGTACCATACTCAATAGGCAATGAAGCAGCAAAGGCAAAATATACAGTATTTATAGAAGTTTATAAATTGGCTACCATGAACGCCGCAATATTACACATTAAAAATCCTCTAAAGATTGCAAATAATATTTAAAAATAGCAATTTTAGCTAAAATTAAAGCAAGTATCAATTCGATTGATGGTGTTGGTGTCAGTCAAGTTTAATACCCAGACACGCCACATGTTACAAGTATTTAAAACAAATGTACCAATAAATCTGAGATTTCAAAAACGTAAAATGTACCGTACTAGCACGAACAGACAAAAATAAAAATGCAGGAATAAAATAGAAATGACTTGATTACACCAATAATAAAGTACATAGACATGTACTCCTTAAAATTTAAATTGACAGTTGCCATTCAAAGAAATAAGTCAGTGGTTCATGTAATATGCATAATACATGAAGATGATGAACAGCAATATTTTTTCTTGATAATCAAAGCAGAACTTTCAAACCAGACAAAGCAAGAATGGGTCGGTCAGTATGAAACATATTTTCATCACATTGCTATCTACTTGTACTTGCCCCCCATAGAATGTGGGATGCATTTACCATGATCAGGCAACCATTTTGGCACATAACATCCTTACCCACCATATACAGATATTAGCTAATACAGAAAGGATGATGAAGGTACCAAAAATAAAGTTAATACTGTAAAACTGGTAAAAAATGGTGCGAGGAAGAACAGATGCACAAGTAAAGAAACCAACCAAGTAAGAATAGGGACTAAAAATAAATTAAATGAAATGTAGCCTTCAGACTTAAGGGGCAATTATTATGGCTACCAAGTTCTTTATGGAAGCCATTGCTCTATGTTGATCATATGTCAGTAAATATTTATCTTCTTGGTAATTGTTTTTCTGCACATGTGACAGATTTTGAGCGTGTGAGAGCATTTGTCACAGGCGCTATGTCCACAAAGGAAAACTACATTCCGTCGTCGTTCCATACAAATTGAGCAGCAATGAGCTTCTTCAATTTCAGCGATCTTGCTTTCCAGGTATCTCAAGCGCTCTGCACTCGGCTGCCGAGACTTGCATGCAATTATTCGTCCATCTGTAACAGAAGAAAAGATGCTTATCTTAATGCACTTCTCAACATATTAAACAAACTACAAAAAAACTTTTTGTCATAGCACCAACACACCTTGAGTTAAACGTCTAGTGATATTTTGACCACATTTCAAACATTTTTTCATCCTGGATGAACAGTCTTCACAGGCTATCCGATGCATACATGGTTCAAACTTAACATTCTGATCAGCTAACTCTGAACAAACAATACATTCCACAGGAATAGGTCTTTCTCCAGCATCCATCTCTATTGATGTTGATGGATTTGAGTGACAACTAGCGCTAGCTCTGCTTTGTCGTTGACTTCTTGAGGGAGTGGACAAAAGTTTCTGATCACTTTCAGGCTCTGATGAACCACTAGGAATTGCACTCAACTGAGATGGGTAATTTCCAGAAAGATCAACTTGAAACAGAGGAGATGCTCTCTCACCACTACCAGAGGCACCTGGTTCAGAAGAAAAACTAGGAGAAAAAATTGAGTTATAATTTGGAGCGTTCCATTGGTAGTTGGAATACAAATTTTCTTAGGACGCACTGTCTCACCTTCTTTGAGTGACATATTTCTTCATGATGTCTTGTAAGGATAAATCCGATATTAAATCAAGTGGAGTTTTTCCTTTGTTATTTTTCTTTTCAAGAGAGCATCCTTCTTGAATTAAATAACATGCAATTGCTATAGCCACTGGATGCTGCACTGCAGCTCGGCCACCACCAACCAGCATAGAATAAATCTGTAAAAGAAAATAAAAGTTTAAGTGCCCAGCAAAATGCAACACATCTAGCTTTCTATTAAAATTGTATTTTATAATCAATACCAACCCCAAAAATAGTAGGAGCTTCTAATTCATTCACATCAGAGACAACAATGCTTCCTCGTTTCATAAGAGCCAAATGAAGGGCAGTATCACCATCTTCATCCTCTGCATGAATATCTGCTCTCAATGATACACACAATTCTACCAAAGAGCAATGCCCCTGAAAGTGTAGAAATGTTAGAGCAAAAAGCGGAGAAATAATACAAAACACATGCAAAAGAGAGTCTTTTTATTTAAACCTGAGAAACCGCCAAAATCAATGGTGTTTGGCGTCTATTGTTTCTTAGATCGACTTCTGCCTGTCCTTGAACGAGGAGAGTTTCAGCAACTGCTCTATGACCATTTAAGCAAGCTAAATGAAGAGCAGCAAATCCATCATCTTTCTTTACATCAACAAGTTGTCTTGACCGCAGCAATAATTTTTCAGTTGCCCTAGAGATACCAAATTATTTTATTTAAATTCCAAAGTGACAAAAAAACAATATTGCTCAGCACTTTATAAGTCTCTTACAAACTGTTTCCTTTAAGAGCTGCATGATGCAGTACATTGAAGCCACGATTATTTCTTACAGTGAAATCAAGTCCAGGCACACTACAAAGCATATCTGTGATATCTAAGTTTTCCTTGCCAATAGCATCATGAAGAGCAGTATCTCCATAAGAATCCTGAATTACAAAAATAAAAATTGTAGAAAAGAATTTTAAAAGAAAGAAACACTTTTATTGAAGGCCGATATGGTCACATAAATGCCAGCATATAAAAGATGATTGACAAGTTTTTAAAACAAAAATAAGTTGACGTCGTGAAATTGATCTTTGCACCCTACAATTTCTTAAACAATGTGTCAAGTAGAAATAACGGTAGAAACATGACCATTGCTTGCTCTACTTCATGACAATAATTTTGTGAGATTTAGCCGAGTATAGGCACACTGGGAGCCCAATGGGCTCAGCCCATACACACCACTTGGTCTCAGAAAATAGGGAGTACCTCATTTTTACGTTTTGACCTACATGAATGTCAAGCTTATTGACTAGGTATATGCTGGCATTTAGTTTAAGAACTGGAGCCGAACTACCTGAACATTGACATTACACTTCCATCGCAGTAAGACACGCACACAATGCACATGCTGTTTGTTAACAGCTACGTGCAATGCAGTGCATGATCCCTTGTTTGTAACATTACGATCTGCCCCAGCTTTTAAAAGCAAATCCATTATGTCAGGTTGGTTGCTAAAAGTTAAATTAAGAAAATTGATGCAGATTAGATTATAATTATTATCATTAACTTTGATAACAGCTTGAAATGTGGCAAGAAACAATAAAAATAAACAAACCCAAAAGCTGAGTAATGTATAGCAGTATCACCATCATCATCAGCAAGTGATAATGAAGCTCCAAGAGAGAGCAAAAGCTGTACCATTTCAGCATGGCCTTGATGAGAAGCTACTTGTAAACATGTTCGACACTTTGACTTGCAATCAACCTGCAAAACAATTGTCAGAGAATGGTGAGAAGGACTAAGATGAAGGGAGGCTTTCAAGTTCAAGTAAACTTACCTTTTCAGGATGTTTTAGTAAGAAGTCACGGACAGTTTCTAGATGTCCCTGAGCTGCCTCTCTAACAACATCAAGAACACCATCATCCTCACCAGTGGAATCTTTTAGAGTTGAGAGAAGGGATGTTAAAGGATCTGAAAGGAAAATTTCAGGTATGAGATTGTCAGAGATTACTGTGCTAGGAGGAAAGCAGTACACAACACATTGGCTGATTTCAACTTACTCGCATGGTCCTCCCTTGATAACTCAATATTGGTATTATCCTGATCTATTGATGTCTGGGGAACTAATTGAACACTCAATGGGTTCAGAGTCCATGTTTGTCCCGCTATAGAAACCCTCAGATCACCATCAGAGTATATCTTTACCACTTTACCTACTTTACCTAAAGCCTAAGAAACAGAAAGTAAAAAAAAAAATAGTTTAAAAGAAAAACAGAGCAATAAAAAAAGACAAAAAAGGGATTGGATAACTAATTAACATACACTATTCATGACTTCAATCCATTCTCCATGTCCTTTTTGGTACTCTTTGACTTTATCTGTATCATGAATAACTCGAACAAAGTCTCCCACAGAGAAACAGTTTCGTTTAGTTAAAGCTGAAGGATTAAAAGTCCATCGATGATTGCACCCCTCATACTGGACTCTTATGTCTCCTCTGTCTGTGACTCTGTGTACTGTGCCCACTTTACCAATATACTGAAAGGGTATTTCAACAATTATTTTTCAGTACAGGTGCAAATAAAACATACTATGTAATAAAAATAATGGCATTAATTAACATCAGACATACTTGAGCCATTCTTGGGTTCCATCCACCATGTCCTTCCTGCATTGTTTTTAACGTTTCAACATCTTTGTTAACTTTAACTTTATCTCCGACACTGAATGTGAGAGAGGGGGTTCCTAACAGCCTGTTAGCTAATGCTCCAACCAAAACATGCTCAAGGCCTTGTCCTGTTGAAGTTTTAAAAAATTAAGAAAAATTAAGAAAAAAAGGGTCAGAGAAAAGTTGAAAAAATACAGTATGTAAATCAAATTTTGTCCTAAAATACAGCACAGCAACTCACAAAGTTCTAAACTTACCTAAGATAGGTAGATGTTCTCGGTAATAGTAGCCTCCGGATGCTGGTTCTATGCATCTTAAGTCAACTTTACCTTTGTGTCCTAAGCGGTAGACATTGGTCGAACCTGATGTCCAAGTAACATTTGCTACGGATCTCCCTGATTCATTGTCCCAGCCTCTTATGTCAGTTACCCTTCCAGTTTTACCTAAAGAGGGAACACAAATGCATAAAATTCAAAGACATTTAAATTTGGAAAAGTTTGTCATTGATGTTATTTCGAAGGCAGACCTTCTCCACCATCCTGGTTTCCCCAATCCCAATCATGTCCTCTAACAACTTTAGCACCTATGAAAATTCCTTTTAAAGGAACCTTAGTCTCTCCTCTTCTTGGTCCCACAAGAACACTGCAATTTTAAAAAGAATCAAAGTTTTACTTTTAAAAGTAATTTGGATAGGTAAATCCTTTCTAAAGCTCAAAAAGAAAAAGAAAGTGAAAACAGAGAAGAGACAGATCTCAAATAAATTTGTGAAACACTTACCCAATAGAAGAAGCTGTTTCAAATCTTTGAAACATGTGAGAGGAGTCATGTGTGTCGGTCATATAACATTCAGTGCACAAGTCATAATCTGGACAGTTTTCACACTTCCAGTGAATACCCATTATTCCGCGCTGATTACAACCATCACAAACAATGTTTGGATGCTTCACACCTGAAAACAAAAGAAATGAATGTGATATTGGAGAAGTATGAATCAAAATTTAAGAAAGTAAAATAAAAACTTACCCGCTGGGGCATTGTCAATGATCCGTAAATCAAATGATCCTTGGTAACCAACCCGATAATTGGTGCGCATGCCTCCATCCCACTGAACAACTACAGTCTTATCAGGGGAGGTTGTGCTACCTGATCTTCCAATTTCCACTACGGTGCCAATGTGACCCTCGCCTTCATCTTGATTGCCCCACTTCCAATCTGGGCCTCTAACAACTCGGATTCCGACTTCCATAGTATCTCCAACTGACTTCAACTTCACCAATACATATGCTTATACATGTCTCCTGAACTGCATCGCTTATGCAGGCGTTGAGCAATCACTATAAAAAAATTATGTGTAAGATATAAGAAAAGCAAATAAAGAATAAGAATCACGCACGTCACAAAATAATAGGATAATTGGCAATAAAGGTTGGTAAAAACATAGCTTGTGCAAAACTATTAAGAAAAATTACCAACAAAAGACATGTTTTGATAATGGTAACAGACAGATAAATCTAATCCCAACTTTGAAACAGTCTTCAGAGAAATGAAACGGAAAATTGCCAATTGGATTGGTATAGAAATCAGTAGAAACATAACCACACTTACAGACAACAACATACAGTTTGAAATAATAGGGAAAACCCTGACAGCGCGAACTAATGAAGTATTTAAGTTCAAAGTCACAAAACAATCACAAGTAAGAAATATTATTGTTTGAGGACGTTTCGAACTAGTACACATTGGTTGCGTTATGGGATTTTCCCAACAAATATCATCATCAGTGGTCAAAAGTGTCATATTCTCATTTCCAAAAAAGAGTGACAAAACTTACCTTGCATGTTAGGAACACGTGTAAGTCCCGATGAAACAAAAAATTATTACTACGGTAGAGCAAAATAACCACTTAGTGAGCCTTAATAAACAGAAATAACATTTAGACAAGTGTGTGATCAAAATAGACAACTACAACACAAACTCTGCTGTCTTCCAATTTTAAACCGCCAATCGGTTAACCACATGGGAGGACTTTTGACCTGTTGTCTCCCTTGTGTAATATTGCTACACATAAATTTTAGTTCTAATTGTGGAAATTTTAAAACAGTTCAGTCAGAAGTTGAATCAATCAAAAAAGAATCAAATGACATATTTTTTCCTCATGAAACACGAAGTATTCGAAACGTTCAGTGGTTTTGTTATCAGATGTTGGTACATCAAGAAAATCAAAGGGTAAAACGTTCTTGGCGCGGTTTTTGAACTTTTTGACATATTACTTTTCAACCCTATAACCCTATCGTGCGTGCGGATGTGATATGTAAATCTCAGGTTGTAACAGTGCGAAGAAACACATAGCACTTCTAAGTTTTCAATATACTTATGCTATGAATCGTGTGTAATTATTAGCCCAAGCGCAACCATATTTTCAGTTTTGTTCTAGTTTTTTTTTTTTTTTTTTTTTTTAAAGGACAAGTTTACATTAAAAATACTTGGTCAATTTTAGTGAAGTATTTATTTAGAAAATAATTTGCAGAAAGAGTTCACAAAATAGGACTATAGACAGACAAGCCACATAAATTAGAAGTTTGTGGCTGAAAGCACAAAAATTAGAGGTTCAGTGTGAAAGCCATGCATCAAGTCATACATACATACAGGACAGTTTTCATTCATGAAACACAAACAAAGGTGCCACACAAAAGGAAAAGTGTGGGCGTGAAGACCATGATAACTTAAACCTTTACCATGTGACAAACAAACTTAATGAAAAAGCCAGCAATGAAGTTAAAAAGCTACAGGATAAACATTGAATGTACAAGTAATAATTAAAACAGAATGTTGTGATTGTTCTCAGTAAGTAAAATGACAAGCCATAGAATGTCAAATACAAAATACTGCAGTTTCCAAAATCTAAATGATTAAGGGCAAAACCCTTAACACTCTACCAAGCAAGAAAAAAACTAAATAAGAGGATATCACAGCAGTCATATTTAATATTTTTTTAAGTATTCAGTAATCATGTTCTTGAAAGAGGCAACCAATATGGTCATGAATTCAACAGCATAGCCTTGTACAAACTTAGGCGTTGCAACATCATTATAATGCATTAATTATTTAAAAACATACATAATTATTTAAGCTAAGATCGTCAGAGCACATCATGCTTTAAAAACTAGAGCAAGACTCACAAATGAAACGAATTGTCAACCAACCATTAAACCTGGGTGCTATACAGCTGACAATCTCAATAGAAAATTATTACTTACGAACTACAGATACATCTTACAGATGCACGACAAGTCTCATAACAGTCCTGAAGCTAGGAGATGTTTTCTGACATAAGCTCCAACTAAAAACAGAGTGGCAGTAGAGTTGGGTAGGAGACAATATGAATCAAATGGTCTTTGGTCATCAACAACCTCAAAACATTATAAACATTTCAAACATCAAAAATAGAACTAAGGCACAATGCAAAGCATTTAAAAGAAATATTTTAATTTAACTGCAAACCATATGTTTGGATAGCAAGACATTATTAGCAGTTAAATACAAGTCTTGTCTCAGTTGCAATCATCAAAGTAGGAAAATTTCAGGCAGTTTTTGACTAAATCTTCAGCAATTGCCTACCAATTTCTTTGCACAGGTATCATTAGTACAATAAAAGCAAACAAGAAGTATAATAAGAATCATTTCAAAAGGTTAAAACAGATAGAATTGTTAAATTTAAATCACAAAACTGGCATCCCTCCAGCCAGGACAAAGAAAATGGCACTTTGCTAAAAAAAAAAAAAGTTAAGATACTCTTCAAAATGTACCTGCTTAATATCTATTTCCACAATACTAGATAATAAATAATAGCGCAAGCTGAAGAAGCTTTTGGTTTAAAACAGTCCTTCAGTACCCAAGCTGTGGTGTACCAGCAATGATAAATGGAGTAAGAGGATAAGACAGGTGACAAAAATTTAGAGAAATTAGTTCAATAACCTTTAGTAGGCCACAAGAATTACACATTAACCTGAGTCTAACCCCCCCCCCCCCCCCGAAAATTCATCGCGGAAGTAGCGGGGGATCTAATACGCCGAGGTTAAGCCAAGGAGGGTCCCGAACACTTCAGAAGCCCAGAAACACATTAAATACACTTTACACACGTGTCGGCGCCTCCCGTTAAGTTAGACATTTCTTCTTTTTTTTTCTTAATTTGACGATTTAAAAGCGGGAGGGGTTTTAAACAGGGGTCTTAGACTCAGGTGAATACGTAATATTAAGACTTCATATTCTAATACAACATTTTCACCCCAAAAAGTATGACTTACACGGCAGAATCTCAGATTTTTTTTTAGATTAATATTTTTATGAACAACACAGAACAGAGCAGACGTTCTTAAACTTCCATAAGAACAGTTTCAAAATTCTAAAGGCAACTAGGTAACATTTTGTTCTCTCCGCACAGAAACTGAAATAATGTAATAATCTCCATGGAACATTGTTCTCACTATAAATATAAATCACCAGGTCAATACTTGATTCAATAAGTAGATACTTTCAATTTTACATCCTTATTCAAAACAAGATTTGGATGATTTGTTTAATTGTACATTATCAGCTAAAACAGTAATTTGGCTGGAGCTGTAGATGGGAAAGAGAAACATATTTTAGCAGGGCTGAAGGCATAAAACAGCTTAAAGAAGAGGGGGGGATTTTACAGGTTTAGACCCTTAATCACTAACATTTTCATACACAACTGCACCAAACCAAAATCATTTTTGGCAAAAAAATGTTTTCCAAAAGTGACCAGTAAACCTAGATGCTCATCCCCATATTGTTATTGTTCAAATTAAAGTTTCTAATACAACTTTCCTCTACATTAATGATGGAGGGCAGAATATTAAGAAATTGAAAGGTGTTTTGAAAATAGATGGAATGTTGTAAAATAAACGGTATCAGACAACATACACTGTCAAAATGAGGAGAAACTGGAATTAAAAAAAATGTAGCTACTGTAAAGCTAAAGAAAAAAATATAACTGTGGCAATAGTGGTAGTAAACAGTCTATTTATTACATTACTGGCTGCCTTTGAGATCATATAAATGATACTTTAAAAATGCCCGAAATTGGAATTGGTTAAGAAGCTTCATATGAGCAAAAACCCTTCAAATTTTGCAATATATAATATATGCAATATTTTGATTGAGTCAGCAAAAATTTTAAATGACGCAGTTTCTCTAAAGGATACATTAAAATTTTATTAAAGGAACATTTTACATGCCACATACGAACAGCAAAGTTGTGTTGAACTTGGGGATAATTTTTTAAAGTTTCTATAAGAAATACAAGCAATTCAAGAAAAGAAATGATCTCCATCATGAAACTGCAACACTGAAATATTTGTACCCTACTCATTAGCGTTTTTATACTAGGATATTCAACATGTAAATGCAGGCAATTTGATGAAATAATGCATAATGACTCAGTCCTTCAACGACTGAGAGCCACCTGAGCTCTCAGATAACTCTTCACTAGATGAACTACGAATGTCTTTGTCCATCTACAACAGAAAAATGAGAAAATGCGGTTTCAAAATCACAGTTAAAACAAGAAGTAGGATGTTTGAATTGGTTGAAATAGATAATAAAAACACGACACTCACCGAACCCATGAGAATTGAATTATAAACAACTCGAAGAATGAGATAGGTCCAAATAACATGTAGAACCAGAAGTAGGATCAGAAGAGAGTTGAAAATGTAGTATGCTGGAAAAATGGCCACCATGTCAGGTGCCGTCACGGACGTGCTGGGGGCAAAAAATTGAAACAACAATGGTAAGATTCAAAAAATTCCTCCCCATTTGTCTGTCTAGGAAATCCTATACATAGTGATCTACATAAATTTCCCTCTTAGGTTTCTACTTTAGATTTTGGATTTACGGGTAGTTATTTACTACATACCCATAGTAGAGAAGGGAACTAAGCCATGCACAGGGAGAGTTAGGTTGAGGGCACATGGTAACACAGAGAGTATTAGGTGCAAGGTGTTCAGGTGCAGGGATAATGAGAGGAAAGAAGAGTGCTAGATTGCAGCATTTGACCAAAGTTCTACAATGCATAATGTTAGGTAAAGATAAATAGTCACCTGTATATAATCCAGAATGGGTAGATTCCTATCCTTGTGACAATCCACAACACTGTAAAAACTCCAAGAAGAATATCACAGATTTTTGATAAACTTGCATATTTTGCCATCTTAGCTGCATCCAAGAATATATCAGCACAGTCATGAACAACCAAGACTAAGGTGCCAGCTCGGTAAAGATTGCAAACCCATGAGAGAGACATCAACGTTACAGTTGCAATGTGATGGATAAACATTTGCCAAAAGTCTTTCCGTTTCACATCAAAAAACTGAGATATGCAAAGAGAGTAGTAGAATGACATGGATATCATGTAGTACCACCAGACATCATTGGTAAGACTCTGTTGACAAGCCAAAACTTATTAAAATCTGCTCATGGAAAGGTAAAACACACACACATCATTGAAGTTCACGAACTTGTTCCAGAGGGTAGCCAACCCAACACTGCTTAATATCCCAGAGCCAAGGCTTGTCCCATAAAACAAAAATGCCAAATGTAAATGATAATACGTAATAGGTGCACCTCCAGCTGTAAAACAATAAGGGCGGTGATACAAATAACTTATCATTTACATAGGTTTCTAAAGTTCAGAAAAACCCACCTGTTTTCACAAAATTTAACTAGCGTGGTGGGCTTGTCTTGAGTTCGACGGACACGAAGCCAGCGCTCAACCTTCCTTTCAGGCCAATCAAGTTGCTTGGCAAGACCAGTGATTTGTTTATGTTTCAGCTTTTCCTTTGATTGATGTGCCTTTTCAAGAATATCATTTGGGGGTGCCTTCTTTGCCCTCTTATATTTGATACCAAGAGATATTCCGATGGGGGCTAACCAATACCTAAAAAAATGGTAAACAATTAAAACAAATGTGTTGCAGCATGAACAAACAAAAATTTATTTCTTACATTAAAATTAAATATAATTATAAGGGTTAGATGTTCATGTTGTAGACATATGGAAATAAAATTCAAGAATTTGATATTGTTTACTGATAACCTAACTTTTTCAAACAGCAACCCTCAACTAAAACTCAAAATTTTATCAAAAAGTCATGGTTGTAATCTGCTAGATCAATGAGTCGGAAAGGATATGATTGAGGGATCCAATCTGTAGATCGTTACATAGATACACCATTGAGAGGAGAACCAAAACGAATTCATTTACCAGAGCGTACGGGCTTACTGCAAACAGCCTAAGAGCGGGAGATACTCGATTTCTTCGCGTTTAAAAATAGTTAAAGACAATATGGACAATTTTACACATAAGTTATTAATTAACTTACTTTTCAAATGCGAATCTCAAGAGTAACATCACCAATGCCATAGGGAAAGGGTACAGGAGGTGACGGTGGTCGCAATAGACATATTTATCGTTGGGTTTGAAGTCGGCCCACGTTACATTCGGCGGAAGCCAAATGTCTTTGTCCCAAAACTTTTCGGAAAACGCGTTCAACAGATCCATTTTGAGACGGAATTGGAACACAGGCAGGACCAGCGAAGCGACGCCAGAGATACCGGCGCGGCGCGCTATCGGTATCGGCCACGAGTCGTGCTCCCTTCACTGCTGCACACCAGCTGACGGGTGCGGGTCGGGCGCGGCGGGCGGCGGCGCGGCGGCGCGCTGCGGGCAGGTCGCCACACCGCGCCACGCCCCGCTCCCTCCCCTTTCTCCCCACCCCTCTCCCCCGGTGGCCGCGCGGCCGCGCCCTCTTTCGGCCTGCCAATAGTGGCGCCTGCGCCCATGGCGCCAGAGGACATGGGTGCTGCGCGGGGTGCTTGAGCCCGTGCCGTGCACCGCCACGCCGTGGAGCGCTGTCCTCCCACGCAATCGCGTCTGATAACAGCGAGAGCGCGTCGGCGGGCAGGTGGGCGGCGCGGGCCGCGACAAGGACGGCGTCGTTGTGGTGGACGCACCGCGTGACGCCGCCGCCGCCGGCCAGGTACGGCCAGGTCCGCGTCGGGTCATTAGGCTGATTGCGTCCGGAATCATCGTGCCTGCTTATGGCGGTGCGCTTCGGGCGCGCGTGTGTCATGTGGCCGAGGCACTACGTGGCGTGCCGGCGAGCAGGGCGCCGCCGCGGCTCCCGCATGCTCTCGATCCTCTCTCGCGGGTCACGTGGCCGGGCGCAGCCGTGTGTGCTGGTGGTGGCGGCGGCCACGGTCGCGGCCGCTGATGCTGCCGCGGTGCGCGCGATGGCGAGGCCCGATAAACCCGCGTCACGCCACATCGACGACGAGCAGAGCAGAGCACCGCGCGTCCTGGACACCCGCGGCTAGCCGTCTCCTGCTATGACGCCCCTATCTCTCGCGCGCCCCGCGGCGCCGGCCGGCCTATGCGTCGCGCGGTGATTCACCCCGTTGTGGTTGTGATTCACACCACGGCCGCCCATGCCCCCCCCC